AGGCCAGGAAAGGAGTAATCATCTCACCCTTGATCATGCAACCTTGGAAGCACTGAAAATTTACAGGTTCCTAAGAAGTATCTCTGAAAACATCTGCACAGAACCTCCAAAGCTTGGAACAGTATATTCTCCACACTGGAAGCAGACCCCTACCTTAGCAAAGTGTAAAAGTCAAGTAATTGGCTGGGAACGTGAGCAAACTGAGGGGAAAAAGTCAGACCATAGAATCTTTCTTTGGTGACAAAGAAGATCAAAACATACAACCAGAAGAAGACAACAAAGTCAAAGCTCCTACATCCAAAGCCTCCAAGAAAAAAACATGAATCAGTCTCAGGCCATGGAAGAGCTCAAAAAGGATTTTGAGAAGCAAGTAAGAGAAGTAGAGGAAAAACTGGGAAGAGAAATGAGAGTGATGAAAGAAAATCATGAAAAACAAGTCAACAGGTTGCTAAAGGAGACCCCAAAAAATACTGAAGAAAGTAACACCTTAAAAAATGACCTCAAAAATGAACTCAAATGGCAAAAGAGGTCCAAAAAGCCAATGAGGAGAAGAATGCCTTCAAAAGCAGAATTGACCAAATGGAAAAGGAGGTCCAAAAGCTCACTGAAGAAAATACTTCCTTAAAAATTAGAATGGAGAGTATTGAGGGATTGGTTCTCAAGATATCTGAAAGAAAGGTGGTTTTAGTCAAAAAGGTGACCAAGAAAACATTAATAACTACCACTCTGTGATAGAAGCAGTAGATATTTTATGTAGGATGGGTTAGTTTCCCTTTAAGGGAGAATGGATACCATTCTCAGGATTATGATTGGTTTTATTTTCCTGCTACCTGAGGCATAAAAGGCCCAGACCATGAGAAGTTGTTTTCAGAGGTGCCAAGGAGAAAGCCTTTCTCCCTTAGCATGACCAATGCTTGAGTTAGCATTTTGTCTGTATTACTATATTTTTAAACTTAGAAATTGTGTCCTCTGTTATTAGTTTCATATTTATTGCATTTTATAGTTCATAGACAGATCATTTTATTCTAATTCCAAGCCTGAATCACTGTACTAGTGAGGTAGGCCTGGCCCAGAATATTTGGCTTCTTAGGTAGGGATTGTTTGAAATGCCTTCATGATTAATTTTTTAAATGGGTAAAGGGTGGTGTGAAAGAAACAGAGCCTTGGGTGATTGGATTGCCAGATATAAGCTGCTGGTATACCATGGCCAAAGTTTGGTTCAAAGTACATATAGGATCCTTCTCTATGGGATAAGGAGGAAGCACTCATTACCCTATAGAGTTAAAGTAATGGATGTTAAAGGAGCTTAATGCTTGGGCTTTCCACTGGCTCTTACTACATAACAGACCCACTTCCTTTCCCAAGGAAACATTTCTCTGGCATCTTCTGTTTCATTTATAGGGAAATTAACAAGATTTGTGTAATTCAGTTCTCCCAATATTATATAAAATCGTTGACTACTAAACACAGATCTCACATTTAGAGTACTAACAGTTAAGTTCATGTTTATAGATGGAATCATATGGTTCTTAGCATGATACCAGGGGTGTTTGGGCCTGTTCAGCACGCAGCTGTCAATCAAATACTTATCCCACTTGTCATGCATAACATCCAACACCAGAGGGCTCTCTGGGACATCTGCTAAATCCTATTGTGTTCTCAGAAAGCGGGCTGCCTACTTCCCATCAGTTCCACCCCTTGGTGGGCCAGAACCCTTTTCTCTCATTGGTCTAGAGGTTAGTGTGAATTATGCAACCGGATCAATAGCTCACAGGCCCTGTTCTAGGAAAACACATCTCTTTATCCCTTACTCTATTGTCCTAATTAATTTACCTCTAATTCAAGGACGTAAGCATTTAAGTAAAAGTATTAATTTTATGAAACAGACATAGTTGTTATTGTTCAGTCGTGTCCAGCTCTTCCTGACCCATTTGGGGTTTTCTTGGCAAAGGTACTAGAGTGGTTTGCCATTTCCTTCTGCAGCTCATTTACAGATGAAGAACTGAGACAAACAGAGCTAAGTGACTTGCCCGGGGTCATACAATTAGTAAGTGTCTGAGGCCAGATTTGAACTCAGGAAAATGAGTCTTCCTGACTTCAGGCCTGGCTCTCTATTCACTGCATCACCAAACTGCCCTTAATAGACCTAGGCATACATTCTATTCAATTCCTAGACCCAGCCACTCTCAAAACTAGGAAACCCATCAAGACAGAAGTTAATATTTCTCTCTCTCCCACCTCCCAGACTAGGATGAGAGCTAACTCAGAAATTCAGTTCTTCATTGTTGGGAAATGAGTAAAAGGGTTTCTTGCAAGGGTCTTTAAGGCCCACAAAGAGATATATCAATCCATTTTGTACCTTCCTTTATTTAATTGGTTGCCATGAACAAATGGCCAACTAGTTGGAAAAGAGCTTCTCTGAATTTAAATAGGCTGATCCTGAGAAAACAGATTTCACACCCCTCCTACCTGTCAAAAATTAGGAAAGGCTAAGAGAAGAGAAGCCTGGAATGGTTAAAATAACTGGCATTTATATATCATTTAAGTTTTCAAAACTATTTACATACCTAATACTGACCTGACTATTTCAAGGTAGCATTGTGAGGATTAAGTAAGGTAATCGTTGTAAAAGTTATTTGAGAAGTATAAATCATTATGCAGATGTAAGATATTAAAATAAAAATTTTATCAGAATCTATGAGAAGTTAAAGTTTTCTAGCTTTATATTTCCAGTCTTTTCCAGTTTTCTAGAAGAATCTGATATTGACTCAGTCTGCCTCTTTTCTCAATGGAAGCAGCCACTATCATGACACACTATTGTTCCATCTTCCTTGTCCGTAATGGGAGGAAAGACCTGAAAATAAAACTCAGTTTGTTGAGGAAGGCTTTAACCTTAAAGGCTCTGCTCCAACAAGGAGTTTTCTACACACATGTTAAGATCATACATGATTCCTTATGTAGGGAGAGCATTGATGTAGTACCAGCTCTACTCTGTCCTTCCAGTCTTGCTAAATGAAGATCCAGGGTAATTTGCATGGCCCTGGGACTGGCAGTCAGGGTCATAATGGTAGAGGAGTGGAATTTTCTCACCCTAGCCCAAAGAGCAGGTAAGCCTAGAGGAGTGATTGCTAAGGCAGATACACGTGAACTCAAAAGACCAATTTGACCTAAAGGCCTTTAGTGGTTTTTTAGATATGGCTATTGGTTTGGAGGTTATGGGCTACAAGCAAAATAAATAGAACGACCATTGCTTTTCTGAGGAGAGGATACTTAATATCCGTAAAACATGATCCATAATAATGGAGCACCATTAAATGGTAGGAGCTAAGCAGAGGATCAACAGACAGTAACAAAGGGAAGAAAATAGCCCAGCAGATGATGCTAGCAGCTAACACATCAGAGGAGAAAGCAGTTCACAACTAGACAGGGAAAGCATCCCAGCAGATGCCATCAGTAATGGTAGCTTCAGAGGCAGAAAAGCACTGTCCAACTGGATTCACAATCTGCAGAGTATGAAGTGGTATGGCTATACGTACTCTTTCCATACGTTCCCTCTCCTGCTAATGGTATGAGAATGGTCAGAGTGTGTTAGTTGGTCAAACATTTATGATATGCCTACTGTATACCAGGCATTGTGATGAATACTGGGGATATAAAGAAAGGCAAAATACAACCCCTGACCTCAAAGAGTTCACAATCTAGGATTATCCTCATCATTGATCTTTCTGCTCTGTTTAGCCAAATTCTTTTTGCTTTGAATGGATTTCTCCATTTGGACTATATGTAAGAGAATAAGAGAAGAGATTGTGGGACCTGGAATTGTTATACTAGCTCACATTTACATATTGCTTTAAGTTTTAATAACTATTTACATACCTAATACTGACCTGACTATTTCAATGTAGGATTTTGAGGATTAAATAAGATTATGAATGTGCAAGTGATTTGAGAAATTCAACTTGTCAAAGAAATAGTGGAAGAGGCTCATAAACTGTTGTTTTGAATGGAAGCTGACCCAAAATGTGCCTTAAACCCAGTATAACATTCAGGAACCCACAACTAAGAGAGCTCAAGCTACATCTGCTAGGTACAAAAGCACATATACCAATAGAATAGATCTGCTCCATCTCTAACAAGTACAACTGAGAAAAATGAAAGACAGATAAATATGTAATCTTCTTTACCAATTTTCAACACTTAAGTCAGAAAATTTTATCAGCTGTGAATGCTTAATGGACTAATGACTGGAGATATATGCAGAATGATAGCAAACCAAGTGAGGAAACTCAAAGTAGATATTAAGATTAAAAATGTCACATTAGCTACTCATTAAGCAATCCTAACTATAGTAGCCTGTGAATTTGGCAATAAAGTAGGAAACAGCATCACTTAAAGGTGAGGACAGGCTAAAGGAGACCTCCAGGTAAAAGTCAGGCTTCCATTAACAAAGTGAAATGGGAAACTGAGTAATAATCCAGATAATTAAGGGGAAAATTCTTGCTAATTTCAACCCAGATGGAGTTTTTATCCCCAATTATTTGGATTATTATCTTGAGCCTTCACATGACCGAAGACCAGACCTTTAGAGACTGTAGGGAGGATTTTGGGAGCTTAGGGAATTAAGTTTGAGGGTATTTTTCCAGGACTCAGACTCAGGGAAAGAGAAGGCAGCCTGTTATAGTGGAAAGAACAATGGATTTACAAAGAATATAGGCTGTGAGGAAGGGTAGCTAGGCAACACAATGGTTAGAATGCTGGAGCTAGAGTCAGGAAGGCCTGAGATTAAATCCCATCTCAGACACTTACTAGCTAGCTGACCCTGAGCAAACCTCAGTTTCTTCATGTGTAAAATGAGAATGATATATCATAATAGCACCTCCTTCCCAGGATCATTGTGAGGATCAAATGAGATAACTTATATAGTAAACTTTGCAAACCTTAAAGCATCACACAAATGCAAACTATTATTTTAGTTCTTTGTGGTATTATTAACTTAACAGGAAAATGAAGAAGGACAGGAGTCTCAGGGAAGACAAGCAAGTACCATCACAGAAAACCATCAACAGGATCCCGGTAGGATTAGTCATGTCTTATTCCCTGACTTTAGCACTACAGATTCTGAATTAATTTATGTTGTTAAAGGGACAGTACTTATGCCTCCTACCCTTCCATTAGCTCTCTTAGGAAATGGAAGAAGTGAGCAGAAAGTTAGAATACAGACTGAGGAGCCATGTCCAGATTCTGATGTATTTCCAGAACACCAGCGACCAACACGAGATGGATGTGCTCCCTTGTCCCTGGAGCCACCAGCAGGGTCCCTTTCTGTCTTGGAAACAGAGAAACCCAAGCCTCAAGTTGATGGAAGTTCAACAAAAGGTAAAAGCTGTTCATTTAACCCAGGATACCCATTTCAGGAAAGACTCAGGTATCACTTCTTATTTTTCCCACTATTTACTTCTAGGCTTGGGTCTGTGGACAAGGAAATTAACCCACCAGTGGCTCAAATAATGTCCCTTTTGTAGACTGCATGCTGCCTATTATAGGCTGGACCTGATTCAGGTCAGTCTAGTGCTTCAGGTTTGAAATAGGAATGAAATGAGATACTTGTAGACCACCTTACAGTTAGCAAAAGGAGATGTACTTAGCTACAGCAGTGAAAAAATATTCAGCAAGGATGCCATAAGGACTCAGCTGGTGACCACTTCCCCGACCCTGTATTGGCCATGAGGGTCTGCCAGTCAGAAGCCCAAAGGAGGAATACTGAATGTTTTTATTGTACACTAGTTTTTTTTGTTTGTTTGTTTGTATGTTTTTGCTTTCGAGGTAGTTGACTTGCCCAGGGTCATACAGTATCAAGTGTCTGAGGTCAGATTTGAACTCAGGTCCTCCTGACTCCAAGGCCAGAGCTCTATCCGCTGCACCACCTAGCTGCCCCTACACTAGTTCTTGTACTTAGGCCACCAGGAAGCTATATTAATAGTCAGAGCCTTATTCCCCTGAGCTAGATAAAACTGGAGGATGGTTTCAAAACCTTTTAACGAAAGACTAGCCTAGACTACCTAGCAAAATATTATTCCTACCACACTGCCCAAACACAATAGACAGAGATAGTTCATTTGGATACCTCATAGAAATGATAGAGGATTCTTTTGTTCTTGGGAAGTTAGAAATCAAATCACTGGACTCTTTTCACAGTATATATCCCTAGAAACAGAGCTTCAACCAATCCAAGATCACGCTGCTTGGCAACCCTGCCTCTTTGAGTGGCTTCCAAGGTAATAGATCAGTAAGAAGTCATATAGAAGCATCACCCAGAGTAGCTATGGATCCTCCATATCCCACCAGGCCTAGATCCTTAATATCACAGTGGTTCTAGATTCCCTTTGGGTAGCAACCAGAGGCCAAACGGGTGACTCAACAATAATCATGGTCTGTTAAGAATATGGTATTAAGTTAATGTACGGGATGACCCAAAAGTCTTCATGCAATTTTATGCAATTAAAGGTGAAAACTGCATGAAGATACCCTGTAGAATTGGGCAACTGTCAGAACAGCAAGGAGATTTTTTTCCACTAAAGCCCTGGTGCTAAATGAATGAATGAACAAGTAACATTTATTATGTGCTTATTATGTGCCAAGCTAATACTAAACTCTGAGGATAAAAATAAAAAAGTCATGATAGTTCCTGCCCACAAGGAATTTATATTCTAATGAGAGAGACAGCACAAATAAGGGAGTGGTGGCCAGGGGAAGGAATTTTGCTTTTGAAGTTGACAGGTTTGGTAAATGGAACTATATAAGCAGATTATCATGTCCTTTCTAGGAGTTAATGGTAGTATTGATTTAGTTATGGTTCCAGATTGTAAAAAGTGGTGGAGAAAGGAGGAGATATTGGTCCCTAGCTTCTAGGGGGCTGGAGAGAAGATGCCTGATGAGTAGGAAGCAAAGGATGGCTGAGGCTGCCCATAATAATGGGCCAGGTGAGGCACTCACCAATCTGGACAGCAGAACCCCAGGAGAAAGCTAAATGGATTAAAACCCCTAAGGCATGGTCTTTAATGCCAGCAAGATGACTAGTATATTTAACTTTTAAGTTGCAAAAATAATACCGAAGTTTAGATCATGTCTGTGCCATGGGGGTAGTTCCCACCCTTCTTGCAAACTTCCTTATTTCCTTTGAAGGCACCACCCTCCTTCCTGTCACCAGATTTGTGACATACCAGAGCCATCTTTGACCTTTACTCCCATATTTAATCAGTTGCCAAGTTTTGTCAAATTTACACCCACCACATCTCCTTCATCTTGAATCCACCCCCTTCTCTTTACTCACACTGCCAAAACCCTCATTACCCTCATCTGAACTACCATGATGGCCTCCTAATTAGTCTCCTTGCTTCCATTCTCTCCCCCTTCCAAATTATCCTTCACATAGCTGCCAAAATTACCTTTCTGAGGTATAAGTCTGACTATATAATTCTCCTGCTCAAAAATGTTCAGTGACTCCCTATTGCTTCCAGAATAAAATAAAAATTCCTCAGGTTGGCTTTAAAGACCTTTTACAATATGGCGCTAGTCTACCTTCTCATCCATATTTCACATTCTTCTCCTTTACATATTCTACATCGAAACCAAACTGGATTTCTCCATGCTGAACATTGCATTCTCTACCTCCATGAGTTTGCAGAAGGCCTCCCCCGTTTGTGGAATGCACTCTTTCCTCATCAAATCCTCATCCTCTTTCAGACTCATCTCAGGTGTTATCATCCCTTCCATAAACCCATCCCAGATTCCCTGAATTGTTTGTGCTTTCTGCCTCCTTCAATTACCTTTATTTATCTGTATGTATTTGTTATCCCCTAGTATGATTGTAAATGGGGAGATTGGCCAATGAGGGTTCAGTCTTGGGAGCTCGTACAAGGGCATGAGCCTGCTCCTGGAAGTGAAGGATGACAAGGAACGGAGGGGCCCTGTCCCTGAATCATAGGACATACAGGCAATTCTGTGCCTGTTTCGTGTTCAGAAATAGGGTCACCCAGAGCTCAGAGATTCATCCGTATACTGCGTGGCCAGCAGGAAGGAAAGAGCCGGTTTCTCCAATGGAGCCTTTTGAACGCACTCTCAGTTCTGGTTCAGCCACCATCCTTCACCACTCAATAAGTGGACAAGAACCGGTCCCCCCACCCCCACTCATTCCACATCATCATGCACTTTGGGATGTGGAGACTCAGCTTCTTACACATGCTCCAAGGACTGGGCTTTCATTGCCAGTACCTCCCTCTCACTTACATAATGTTAAGTTTCTCGAGTGGGCAAGGCACTTTTTGTCTTTGCATCCCCAGTGCCAGAGAAGTAATGTGGCCAGGTGTTTAGAATGTTAAACTTGGAAGACCTGGGGTCAAATCCTGCTCTGACACTTAATAGCTATGGGATTGCAAATAACTTAGCCTCTCTGAATCCCAGGAAATTCTCCAAGACACATGTACAAATTACAGATTGATTGCAATCTGCCCTGGTGTAGAAAGTTTCCATAACCAAACACTCTTGACATATTTCCAACATCTTAATCACAGTAAGTAAATAATAGCTGTTTATTTAATTTGTAACATTAAAATTCTCATATTCTATGTGGTATAGGAATAAAAATAAAATAATGAGATAACTTAAGGAATCATAGAATTTTAGAGTTGGGACAGCCCCATGAGAAGACCTGTATAACTAGTGGAGTGACCGGGGCTTTGTCCCGAGGTGCCAAAAATTAGGTAGTGTCTGTAAGCCTCCACTAGTGAAAAAAAAACTGAACTTAACACATAGTTAGCAAGGATAATGGGGCAGCTAGGTGGTGCAGTGGATAGGGCACCAGGCCTGGAGTCAAGAAGTCATCTTCTGAGTTCAAATCTAGCCTCAGACACTTCCTAGCTGTGTGACCCTAGGGGCAAGTCACTTAACCTTGTTTGCCTCAGAGCTAGAGAAGGAAATAGCAAACCACTCCAGTATCTTTGCCAAGAAAACCCCAAATTGGGTCACAAAGAGTCACACACAACTGAAACAACTGAACAACAACAAAGCAAGGATAACTAGTCATAATAGACAACTACAGCATATGTACCCTGAGTGTGTTTCTGCCCAGTCCTCTGGACCTGTCTATCTCTCCCCAACCTCCAATGGTGGCCTCTCTAACTATGCTTGAGGGTACATGCATACTGTTGATACTGAAAATGTATGCACCCTAGGGTCAAAAATGACTAGTGATGGCTCTGCCCTAGAGATGATCTGGTGCTCACCCAGCATTTCTGGGTTGTGATGTTTATAGACAATGAGTATCTAGAACAAGTTATTTAATCACTCAGGCCTTAATTTGCCCATCTTTGAAATGGTTGGTATGGCCCTTCTGTTGAGAAGTTCACTGATAAAATGATCTCTAAAGTCCCTTGCATCTCTAAAAACTATGAACCTATGATAGATATCTTGTTGCCTTCTAGCTATTTGGAAGAGGAATAAAATAATGTATACCACACATACAACACACGTACACACACACACACACACACCCCTCATCTCTAGCCAAAACACTGGCCTTCTAAAAATGGGCTAACAGTGGGCCATGTGACTGGATTGAGGAGGCAGTTTTCTTTCGTTAAAATGGGTTGGACCATCTCAATTTAAAAATTGACCTGCCCCTTTTTACAAAGTCAACAATGGCCAGAAGGCCTGGCCTAGGGTTTAAAATGAAGAATATGTAACCTTACATCTAACTCTTAGTAGAGCTGAAGCACAGGCTAGCAAGAGAGAGGATAAACTCCATACAACCTGATTAGACCTAAATTAATGGGAAGGATATAGGAAAGATTCACAAAGGACTTCCTCTCTTTTTTGTCCCTGGTGGACAAAGCAATGAAGCAGGTATGCCTCTTCCTGTTTTCTCTCTGAATGTTTTCCAGACCAGAATCCCACCCAGATCTCTTCTTCTATGCCATATCATTGGCCAGATAAAACTATGTTTTTTGCTCACTTGATTTTTTTCCTCTAATCTAGACCAAGGGATCTGTTACTGCTCCATTTTTTTCTTTTCTTTCTCTATTTCTTTTCAAGGTCATGTTTGGGATTTGAATTGGTAAGTTTTATCAAGGAAGCCCAAAAGGAGAAAGATTTATTTGTAATCTAATTCTGTCATCTTCACAAGAATTCTTGTGTGTCTATATCTTTAGCGATATTGTTTTTGGTTTTAATTTTTATTAATATTTTTTGTCTTTAGATCACTTTTACTTCGAAGCATATCTCTCTCTCCCCTCCCCTCCCCATGTAACCATCCCTATAAAAAAGAATTAAAAACGAAGAGGAAAAAAACAAGTCAGTCAAGCTAACCAATATATCAACTG